TTGATTATAAGTGTTCTCAGCACAAAGAAACATGTGGTGATAAATATCATTATTAGTCTGATTAAATCATTCCACAATGTATGAATGTATCAAAACCTCACACTGTGCTCCCATCACTACATTTGTAGCCTAGTCTCCTAGGAACGGCCCACTTCACCTTAATAAAGTGTTCCATCCCATGTGGATATCCACTAATATCTAAGATGAATGTAGACCCAATCAGAATTAATAAAAGGCTTTGTGGATGTGAAGAGAAAGTTGAAATAGATTTTAAATAAAATTAAGAATCAATGTAAGAGGTGCAAATATATAATATATATATATATACTCACACACACATATATAAATGATTTACAATACGATAAAAGTAGAAAGCTACTATAATTTTAGATACTGTCATATTTATACAAAACTATCTGCAAATAGTTCATTGAAATTAAAAAGAGGTCAGACACAGGCCAGATAAATTCAGTCAAATTAGAGCTTAATTACAAATATGAGTAGCTGGGCCGGCCCGGTGGCGCACTGCTACAGTGCGCCGCTTGGGAGTGCGGCGGCGCTCCCGCTGAGGGTTTGGATCCCACATACAGACCGGTTCCCGCTCACTGGCTGAGCGAGGTGCGGACGCAGCACCGAGGGTTGCGGTCCCGTTGCCGGTCCCGGTCCGGTACGGGCGCGACACTGAGGGTTGCGATCCGTTGCCGGACACGAAAAAAGACAAAAAGGAAAAAAATATATATATATGAGTAGCTGGCCGGTTAGCTCAGTTGGTTAGAGTACAGTTTTATAATGCCAAGGTCAAGGGTTTAGATTCCCATATCACCCAGTGGCCCCCAAATAAATAATAATAATAATAATAAAGGTTATAAGGACAGTACTTTTAAGAAGGTACTTAAGGTTAAGTGAGTGCATTGGAGAAGCCCCCAATTCTTCAAGAATTCTGTCCTTACAAGAAAAAGAGACATCAGAACTTCCCCCTCTCTGCTCAGGATAATAGTGGAAAGGCCAGTGAAGCCAGGATGAGAACATTGCTGTCTGCAAGCTGGGAAAACAGACCTTACCAGAAACAAATCTGTTAACACCTAGCTCTTAAACTTTCAGCATCCAGAAATGTGAGAAAATAAATATCTATTTTTTTAAGTCATGAAGACTGTGACATTTTGTTATGGGAGCCTGAACACACCAACAGAATGGAGTAGAAGTAAATGAGTCATAAGGCACAGCATAAGCAAATGACATTACATAAAGGAAAAGGTAGAGCCCCACCATACCCCAAATCCAATCAAGCAACACCAGGGAGAGGCATCAATAAATAATTCAATGCCAATGAAATTCACTTTCAAAAGTTTAAAAGAAAAAGCTGATTCCATTCTATGTTCTGAGAAATATGTTCTATTTATATGACAGCTTATTAATATACAAACACATTTACTTCAAACCCTGGAATAATCAATAACTTTATTTTTAGCACTTGGAATTGTCCAGGATGCATTAACAGGATGCATTAACAGCCAATCCTGAAGCAATCTCTGATAAGTAGTAATTCTACCCCATGATTGTAGTATCCAATATTTCTGTAGTGAATATTGAACTGTTACAAAATTAACTTGTGACATTCAAGATACCTTCTGCTTAAAGAATAAAAAAAAATATTTCACTGCCCACCCCAAGAGAATTTATGATCTACATGTAGCAGACACATTAATGTGACTTCTTAGCCACACCCTCATGTAATCCTCTGCCCTGGTATGTGGATGGGACTTGTAGCTTGGTTCAAACAGCATATGATAAAAGTGCAGGAATGTTACTCCTGTGATTGGTGTTACTTAAGACTATCCTATAAGGCTGCAGTAAAACCCTACCTTGTTAACATTAAAAAAGCAATAGTCTCTGTATCCCCTGCTATGGAGAGGCACAGAAATGTGGGTGGCACCCAGTTGGCAGCCAGTAAGAAACAGGCTCTCAGTCACACATCCTTAAGAAAACAAATTCTGCCCAACCCTTAATGAGCTCAGAAGCAGGGTTCCCCACTTAAGCTGCCAGATGAGAATGCAGCCTGGTTGACACACTGGTTGCAGCCTTCTAAGATCCTGAGAACAGGATCTGGCAAAGCTGTGCCCAGAGTCCTGACCCACAGAAACTCGAGGTAATAAATGTGTACTGTTTTGAGCTAATAAGTTGGTGGCTATTTCTTATGCAATAATGAAAATATAATGTCTCAAAACAGAGCAGCTCCAAAGAGAGCAGCTCCTGAGTTGAGTATTTCAGTGGTCCACGACATCATCATTCACACTGGACCTACATCATTCTGCCCCATCACTCTCAGGCCCCACAGCCTAGGACTACAATATGCAACTAGGGGACATGTCCACAAATATCAGTGTCCTGTTGCAGAAGACCTACCTCTTCCATGTCTCTCTTTTCTTTGAGGAGACTTTCCCAAACATACCACAGAATCTTCCTAGTAAGTCACTGCACAGAGCTGGGTCACATAGTCACCACAAAAAGACCCCTAAAGGGAAGAATAGCATGAACTAATAATAAAAAAGCTAAACAAAGATAAATGCTTAAATTACTCTGTGGACAACTGGGTAACAAAACCAAATCATGATTTCACCAAAAAGTGAGAGGTGGCTCTTAGGTAGCCAATAACATTCTATTAATTCCTCTTACCAATTTCTTAGAGGGATTTTGTAAGCTATGAAACCACCAATACCATCATAGCAACAGACATATACTGTTTACCAAGTGCCAGGTGATACCCAAAGCTCTTTAATTATCTAGTTTATGCCTCACAATGCACCTGGGAGGCAGGTTCTATTATCACTCTCATACTGAACAGAAGAAACCAAAGCCCAGAGAGATTAAGGCTAATGTCACACACAAGTGGAGCCAGGATTCACACTGTTGTCCCTATTAGTGTCAAAACACACAGATGGCATTCCATCACTGCAAATAGAAACATAAGAGATTCCTCAGTTACACAGCACTTGATACACACACTTATACCTATGCTACTGCCACCTTTAAAAATATGATAAATAGGAATAAAGGGAAAATATTTCTTCAAAAGACTGGGTAGGGCCAGCCTGTGGCTCACTCGGGAGAGTGTGGTGCACAAAAGCCACGGGTTCAGATCCCACATTGGGATGGCCGGTTGCTCACTGGGTGAGCGTGGTGCTGACAACACCAAGTCAAGGGTTAAGATCCCCTTACCGGTCATCTTTAAAAAAAAAAAAAAAGACTGGGTAGAATTGATGTGTAATATTGTCTACAGCTGTTTAATTAGAAAATTAATTTAGACAAGCTGTTAATAATTATGCACCTCATTCGTTCATTTCTGTGGAAACAATGTTTTTACTAGACCCAGGCTGACTCTGTTAGCATCAAAATTTAGAAAAATAATAAAATACTTAAGAGGGAGTTTGGTAATAAAGGTCATAAAATTATATACGCTATGAGAGTAGAAAAGAAGTATGTAGTGCAATACTTCAGATTTAATATATTTAATAAGGTATAAACAGGCTACAGTGGAATTTAATGTAAAAAATCCAAATGTGAATCAAAATATTTATTATGCTAAGTGTATGTATTCACTATTCACATTTATGCCAGGCTGTGCTAAGGAAAACTCCTGTTAAAATATGATCCTTTAATATTTAAACCCTACATAGTTGAAGGAATTGGTCTGTGCAGTGTAGGCTGTTTAGCAGCATCCCTGGCTTCCACCCACTAGATGGGGTGGTACCTTCCAACCACCAGGTATGACAACCAAAAGTATCTCCAGACATAGCCAAATGTTCTTTGGCAGGCAATGTCATCCCATAAACCTAAGTATTTGCATACAACCAAATGAAAAATCGTTGTAATACTATACTTAACCTTTTTATTCAAAATTTATATCAACATTACATAAGTTGATGAGTTCCTTCGTTACAGATTTTAATATATAAGAAACTTGGAAGCTTTGTTGAAAGCCTTGACACATTAAATATATTTATAAAGATTTACTTTATTCTTATCTACAAGGACAGATAACTTCTCTCAGAAAGTTCAAAATGTCAATCAGCTACAGTGGGCTGGTTGTGCTGTAATGCAAACAGAGCACCATAAAATGGCTTAATAGAGTAAGTATTTAATTCTTGCTCATGTAAAATACAAATGGAGGGCTTTGAAATAAAGGTGGGGAGATCTCTGATCTCTCCAATTATTTTTGTCTTACACAGTGGTGGTCTTCTCCCATCTATGGCTCCCAAGGTCATCCTGGTAGACATCTGCACTTCAGTCACAGATGGTATGAGACACCAGGGAGAAGTTCATGGACATATTTTTGTTGTTGTTGCCAGACATGAATGTAATGTTCATTACTTGTGTCCATATTCCCCTGAACAGGGATCAGTTATGTGGTCCTGCATACAATAGGGGGAGGTTGAGTATGCAGGATAAACGTGAGTATAAGACAAAGTGTGGTTTTTTAAAAATAGCCAATATCTGCCATACAGAATTCCCCCCAATATGAGTTTTCTTATGCCTGCTGAAATATGACTTCTGACAAAAGATGCTTCCACATTTATTACAGTTAGCCTTTTATATACATGGGATCCACATATATGGATTCAACCAACAACAGTACAAAATATTTGAAAAAAGGTGCAAAAATAATAATACAACAATAAAAATAATACAAACAAAATCAAACACACTGTAAGATTTATTTACATAGATTTTACATTGTATTCAGTATTACAAGTAACTTACACATGATGTTAATTATACAGCAGGATGTTACTCAAATACTACACCATCTTATATAATGGACATCCACAAATTTTGGTATCCATGGGGGATTCTGAAAAAAATCACCTGTGGATACCAAGGAATCCCTGTACATTGATAGTGTTTCTTTTTGGTGGGAGTTCTGTTATGCATCCTGAGGTGTGGCATCTGGGGAAAGGGTTTTCCACATTTATTATATTTATGGTTTTCCACAATTATTACATTCAAGAATTCAAGTGAATTCTTTCATGTCTACTGAGGTTTGACTTCTGGCTAAAAGATTTCCTACACTGTTTACATTCATATGGTTTCTCACCTGTGTGAGTTCTCTGATGAATATGGATGATGGATTTAATGCAGAAAGTCTTACATTCTTTACATTCATGTGGATTCTCATCTGTGTGCATTTTCTGATGGCTGCTGAAGTGTGACTTCACGTGAAAGGTTTTTCCACACTCATTACATTCATAGGGTCTTTCCCTGGTGTGAATTCTCTTATGTCTATTGAGGCTTGAGGTATGACAGAAAAATTTCCTACATTTGTTACATTCATATGGTTTCTCACCTGTGTGCATTTTCTGATGGCTACTGAAGTGTGACTTCAGGTGAAAGGTTTTCCCACATTCATTACATTCATAGGGTTTTACTCCTGTGTGAATTCTCTTGTGCCTAATGAAGACTGATCACAGAAAGATCTCCTACATTCATTGCATTCATATGGTTTCTCACCTGTGTGAATCCTCAGATGTTTGTTGCAGTTTGACTTCAAATGAAAGGTTTTTCCAAATTCATTACATGCATAGGGCTTCTCCCCTGTGTGAATTTTCTGATGTGTGCAGAGGTTTGCCTTCTGGTGAAAGTCTTTTCCACACTCTTTACATTGATAGGGTCTTTCCTCTGTGTGAAATCTCATATGTTTTCTGAGGGAAGAGTTATGGTAAAAAGATTTCTTACATTCTTTACATTCATAAGGTTTCTCACCTCTGTGAATTCTCTGATGCCTCCTGAGTAGTGACTTCTGCTTAAAAGTTTCTCTACATTCATTACATGCATATAGTTTCTCTCCTGTATGTGTTCTCTTATGGACTGCAAGGGATAATTTCTTCAAGAAAGATTTGTCATATTCACTGCATTTATACTGTGTCTCTGTTATGTGTACTTTCTGATGTTTAGTTTAGACTTTTTATAAAATGTTTTCCCACGTGTATCACATTGAAAAGTTTTCAATACCTGAGTTATGTCTTGAGCAATAACAGCTGACTTATCAAAGGCATTCCCATATTCAGTATATTTACAAGTGATCTCTCCCATATGAAACTTCTTATGTGTAAATAATATTGTCTCTGTGTTGAAGGCTTTTGCTTGTCCACTATATTCAAAAGCCTCCTGCTGACTATGAATCTTGGGATGCCAGCTAAGATGCTCATGATGTCTGTGTGATTTTCCAGTTACATTATGGTCATCAATTTTCTTTCCATCATGCATCTCATCAGGCTCTCTAGGAAGAATTGTGTTCTGACGTACATTAAATTCTCCATGCCTCATTCCTGAATAGTTTCCATTACTTATAATCAGATTTGAAATATGGTTTGAGCTCAAATGAAATGCTTTTCCTAAATCAACTCTGTGCTCAGTTGATATTTTGTTGTTGTTGTTTACAACATATCACAAATTTGTACCATGACTTTCATGGCTTAGTTTGGTCATTTACTATATGGATATCCACAATGAGAGAGAAAAAAAAAATCATGAACTACACATAATCATTGCTCACGGATTGTTCATGCAAAGGTAAAGAAGTTTCTTCCTATCCTAGTGGCATAGAATTGTATAAAAATCATCAATGGGTATTGATTTCATTAATATGTCTTTTTCTACATACTCAATGTAATAAATTATATTAATATGTTTTCTAATGTTCAGTCATGTTTTTCTTTGCTTCTTTATTCATTTATTATTATTATTATTTTTTTTTTTTTTTTGTCTTTTTCGTGACCGGTAAGGGGATCACAACCCTAGGTGTGGTGTCACCCACACCGCGCTCAGCCAGTGAGCGCACCGGCCATCCCTATATAGGATCCAAACCCGCGGTGGGAGCGTCACTGCACTCCCAGCGCCACACTCTCCTGAGTGCGCCACGGGGCTGGCCCTTCATGTATTATTCTTGAGAAAATATTTGGCAAAGTTTTCACCTACTGCCTGATCGGTTTTCAACCAAGTGCTTATCAACTGCAATTTGTTTACCCTATTTTTTTCTCTATTTTATTTTTATAACAACAGTTGTTGTCTCATGCTGCATTTTTCCTCATTACTCTGCTTTGAAGATGGCAAGAATTTTCTGGATCAGGAACTTTTAGATTCAGGAGCAAGCCAATTTTATTTCCCTTAAAATTTTATATGGCTTAGGTGGAGGATTTTGGACATGTGTTTCTTTAGTTTTCTCTCCTCCCTTGGAAATGGCTACAGGCATCTGTGGAGTTTTCAAATAAAAATTCTTTTCCCCACACTAGATAAAGACTACTTCCTACAAATCTGCATTTAACCTCACTTCCTTTGCTTCTCAAAAAGCTCCAGTCTACTACCCTGGGCATGTCCTTTCTGCTGGTCTGTAAGATTTGGATTTGCACCCAGGACGTCCCATCGTGTTTCAAAATAATTTTCTATCTCCCTCTGAGATCAATTAGCATTCTCTCTTCAGTTGCTAATGCACCCATACATCCTTGATAACTCGCTGCTTCTGAAGGTGTTAGTTTCGTGCATTGGAGTCTCTTACTTTCACAGAAAATGAAGTCTTATGTACATTTTTCATTCTTCTTGTGGTTTCAGGATAATTTCCAAAAAGAGAAGGGAAAAGTCTGACTTCAAACTACACTCCCAAGAAGAAATCTATGCCCTTCTATATGACAGCCTAGGTTTATTTAGACTTGGGACCAAGAATGTCTTGGTTCTCCTCCCCAGTCCATGACTACCTCTTTTTATGCTACCTGGGTCCTCCTAAGCTTCATGATTTCTGATGTCATTGTAAACAAGTCTTACTTCTGGACTTCTTTTCTCCGTTTCTTCTCAACTCCCTAGATGACTGTCTCTATAAGTATGACTTTAAATACCAGCTTTAAAAGTCACCAGTTTCCAAATTTATACCTACAATACTGATGTTCTTTCTCAAATATAGATTTTATATTCACGTATGTCTTATGTGTCAAATCTGGAAAAGAGTATTGCTATAAAAGTACCAAAGCTTAAAAACTGCTCAATTAAAAGACAATTGAAAAAATAAAAGTTTTTGCTATAGTTTGAATGTCCCACAAATCTCATATTGAAGCCTGGTCATCATTGTAACTGTAAAGAATGTGGGAAATCTGACTACGGTATTTTAGAGTTGGGGCTTTTGGAAGATGATTGGATAATGAGCACAATGCTTGAATGAATTAATTAATGTATTCAAGGATTAATGGAGTAATGATTTAATGGGTTATCAGGGAGGGGACTGGTGGCTTTATAAAAAGATGAAGCAAGCATGTGGATGCACTTTTTGCCACTCTTGCCATGTGACATCTTGCAGCACTTCCGAGGAAGAAGCCCCTCACTAGATGCAACCCCTCAATCCCAGATTTCCCAGCCTACAAAACTGCAAAAGATTTTTTCTTTTAATATTAACTACACAGTTTCAGGTATTCTGGTATAAGTCATAGAATATGGACTAATACAGCCTGAAAAAATGTCCTCAAAATGGGAGAATAAGAAAGCAACTGAAGGTTGGGGCTTGGCGGGTGGGGAGGGCGGGAGGCGGTAAGGAGACGTGGAGTCCACGGGAGAGAAATGAGGCACTCCAGCGCCTGGCCAGAGCTCGGGAGATGAGTCCCGGAGCGCGAGGCGGGTGGAAGCTGAGGCCTGTGACACAGGCAAGAGACTTCTCTTGGATTTGGCTGCAGATTTATAGATCTTCTGCACTGTCTACAGGCACAGACACACCCTGTGGTGCCGCCACTGCGTGATCCAGCAGGTAGGCTTCACTGCCGCCACCTGACTCCATTCCCAGCCCAGCCCCGTGCGCACAGAGCGGGAGACGTCCGGCAAGGGAGGTGGAGACTCGGCAGAAACCAAACACCCTGTGGGGCCACCACCACTGTGTGATCCAGCAGGTAGGCTTCACCGCCGCCACCCAGCTCCATTCCCAACCCAGCCCCGTGCGCACAGAGTGGGGAGATGTCTGGCAAGGGAGGCGGAGATTCGGCAGAAACCACACACCCTGTGGGGCCGCCACTGAGTGACCCAGCAGCAGCCCCGGCCAGAGCGCACGGAACAGGGAGAAGTCCTACACGGGAGGTGGAAGCTTAGCAGAGACCACACACCCTGCAGTACGCCCCCATGATCCAGCATCCTGGCAGAGTCCAAGCTGACCAGAGAGGTGGCTCCCCGGAGAGGCCCAAGTCCCGAGGCAACCACACACACAAAGCACTAGAAGCCAACTGAGCAGTCACGGAGGTAGCCATACCAAATTGGCAACCACAGCAACATCCTAGTTAGTCAATAGTGTCAAAACTGTGCACTGTGAAACCCCCTGCCACAATGAATAAACATCAAAAAAAAAAGATACCAGAAATACAAAAAATCAAGAAAGTACACCACCAAAAGTTAATAAATCTCAAACTCTAGATCCTATAGAACAAGAAGCTCTTGAAATGACTGACAAGGAATTTTGAGTGATAATTCTAAGGAAACTGAATGAGATACAAGAAAACTCAGTTAGACATCATGATGAAACAAGGAAAAGTATACAGGATCTGAAAGAGGAAATGTACAAGAAAATCAATGTGCAAGAGAGAAGCGTCAAATCACCTATAAGGGAGCCCCAATCAGACTAACATCAGACTTTCCATCACAAACCCGAAAAGCTAGAAAGGAATGGGATGATGTATTCAAAATACTAAAAGACAGAGACTGCCAGCCAAGAATACTCTATCCTGCAAGGCTATCCTTCCGAAATAAAGGGCAAATAGTATGTTTCTCAGACAAACAAAAACTGCGGGACTTCACCACCACACGACCACCCTTACAAGAAATTCTCAAGGGAGTACGGGGTTTGGTTCCTGAAAAATAACTACCACTGCCATAAAAACCCAAGAAACTTCAAAACCCACTAGTATAATAAAAATGGCATTCATGAAGAGAAAACAAACAAACAAAAATG